TCGAACTTACCGCCGTCCAGACCCGGCAGGCAGGCTCCCCCGTCGACTCCGCATACTCCTCGCGGCGAGCAGGATTACCGGAGTCGACGGGGAGCACTTCTGAGTTCGATTTATCGCGTCCAGACTAGACGCGATAAATCGAACCCAGAAGTTCGATTGCCTGCCGCCGAACCAGCGCGGTAAGTATAGACAAGCCCTAAGTATTATGCCACACTTTTGATTATTTGAACAAATATGGCACAAGTAATTTGTCAATGATTGTCAAATATTCAGGGTAACAGACTCAAGAAGAGAAAGGAAATAATGGTATTGTACTGTATTCCACCTTGAAACATTACCGGTATCTTAGCATAAGATGAGATGCTGCATCCTGGAGAAAGTACTGTACTTCCCACAGTGGATGAAAGTCCATTGGCTCTCAGAATTAAGATTAGGAGTTTGCCAGCTGAAGTGTTCTTTCAAGCTCCCGAAGCTGCATGTTGCCCTGAGTAATCATCATCCTAATTGCATCCTGTAAAGTGAAATGGAATCTGTTGGGCTGAACACCTATATTATAACACACAACAGAATATAGCTTTTTGCCAGAGTTGCTGCATTTTTCACTCAATTTGTTTGCCTGAGTCAATGGCATGCAATAAAGCATTCAGTCTCTAAAACAATGAAGACCACACAATATGTTCATCATTGTGATAGGTGAAGCAACTGTCTCTCACCAACAGAAATTGGTCCAATAAAAGACATTACCTCACTCACCTTCTCTCTCTACTGGGACCGACACGGCTACAACACTGCATATATTAATTTGCCAGTCATTTTTCCACAAGTTCTTAACAGTGCCATTGGGGGTTATTCCTGTGGCGTAAAAGTCAGTGGAAAAGTTTCTTTGATTCAAAATCTAATTAAATTAGTATTTTCTTTATACATCCATGTCCTTTCCAATGTTTCTGTGAATAAATGGTAAGAACTACAGATATGCATTGTAGAGAGGGATTTTTAAGAGATAAATGGTGTGGACATTCTTCTGGAATTCTGTATATCACTTAGTCTGCATAATTCCAGCCAGTAATTCCTTAATACTGACTAGGAAAGGTGCACAGCTGGCAAGCAGGGGCGTAGAAATGTTTGAGAAAAGGTAAAGTTTTCCCCACCCATTGCCATTTCCTATGCAGATATCAAGTCAAATTTGTTTTGTTCAGTCTAAATTAATAAAGTTTTCAATTAGCAATAATCGCGCCTCGGATTAACCTCATTGGCTACGATACTGCCACTGCGCAAAGCTAATTTAAATATAACCCCAACAGATATCATAAAAAGGCAGGCCTGGCCTTAGTAAACTTATAATTGCTCTCCACTATTCAATACAAAATTGTAAAATTAATAGTTTTGTCTGATTCTTATTTCAAGCAAGCAGTTTTTGTTTTGTTTTTTAATTCCAATTTACTCAATTTAAGGAATCAGAAAAAAAAATTATTTGCAAGCAAGAAAGAAAAGAAGGGATAGTGTTGACAGTTTTTATAGATTCCAAGGCCAGAAGGGACCATTGTGATCATCTAGTCCGACCTCCTGTATAACACAGGCCATAAAACTTTCCCCAAAATAATTCCTAGAGCATATCTTTTAGAAAAAACATCCAATCTTGATTTAAAAATTGTTGGTGATGGGAGAATCCACACTGATTCTTGATAAATTATTCCAATAGTAAATAACCCTCCCTGTCAAAAATGTATGCTTCAGTTCCAGTCTGAATTTGTCTAGCTTGAACTTCCAGCCATTGGATTGTGTTATACCTTTCTTTGCTAGGTTGAAGAGCCCATTATTAAATATTTGTTTCCTGTGTATATACTTATAGACTGTAATCAAGTCACTCTAACCTTCTCTTTGTTAAACAAAATAGACTGAGTCTATCACTGTTTTCTAATCTTTTAATCATTCTCATGGTTCTTCTCTGAACCCTCCCCAATGTATTGTATCACTTTTGTATAAACATTACCTGTTTTAGAATAAGCAACAAAATAGATTCCAAAAACGGGTGTTACAGAAGGCTTGGTGCAGTTAAAAAAACAAAGCATATGACAAACCATAATCTGTAGCACTAAGAATGCTGCCAAGTATATAAAAGGCATTGCTATGAGGCTGCTGCCTCTGATTCCTCACCTCATCTGTTGCATCTTTATTTCTTTTGAATTCTTCCCTTGCCCACTCCTTTAGATAGTGCCGATCAGTTTCAGTAGGTACCTGACGAATAGCCTGCAGAATTCTTCTGTATAACTGAAGAACCTGCTGCCTTCTCAAGAACTGCAAAGAAGAGGGGAAATGCCTGTTATATCTGCTGCAACAGTGATCTCCATTCAAAGAAAGGTTTTTTTAAAACCTTTATAGAGTTTTAAGCCAAATACCACCTGGAAATTAAATGAACCAAGAGAAAGTACCTGCAATGCAAGTTTAGTCTGTTAGAAGCTTAAAATTTAGAAGAAAAACAGAGTAAATTTTAAATTTGAATGATCTAATCTGAGCTGGGCTATTGGAATAGAGCAGGGTTCTCAAACTTCATTGCACCGGGACCCCTTTCTGACAACAAAAATTACTACACGCCGCCAGGAGGGAGTACTGAAGTTTGAGTCCGCCCGAGCTCCACCACCCTGGAAAGGGGGGCCAAAGCCGAAATCCCAGGGCTTCAGTCCCAGGCAGGGGGCCTGTAACCTGAACCCTGCCGCTCAGGGCTGAAGCCCTGGGGCTTTGGCCCCAGGTGATGGGGCTCAGGCTTTGGCCTTGGGCCCAAGCAAGTCTAAGTCAACCTGGTGACTCCATTAAAATGGGGTCCTGACCCACTTTGGGGTCCCAACCCACAGTTTGAGAACCACTGGAATAGAGGGAAATCTGTAAAAAGGACTAGAAACTCCCATGATTAGCTAGATTGCAAAGCACCTAGTCATACACCAGGGCCCCATTGTGCCCTCTATAAACACAACAGAAAGATGGTCCCTGCTCCACACATCTTACAGGCTATGGCCTGGACTACATATAGCTTTTGCACCAATATAACTATTTCAGTTAGGAGTGTGTATTTTTTTTTTTTTTTTTTATTGACATCACTATATTTAGGCTTGGGATCAGATTTGTCTTGGTAAATGTCGATTTCACTATACATACACAAATCAATAAAAAATATTTCCATTGATAATCAAAATGTACGGATAGGCAAAGAAAAATACTGCTTGAGAACTTATCAGAGGTTGATTTAAAGATATTTACGTTGTATATTTTGACAATTTATGTTTTAAAAATTATAAAGTGTTAACTTTTTGAATATTAATGTCGACTGTCTTTAAATAACGCCTGTCTGAACCCCTCCTAATTCCCCACAACTGTGAAAAATGAAATAGCCTAAAATTTTTAAAAAATGTTTAAAAATAAACATTGACTTTATCCATCAAAATTATTTAAAAAAAAAATCAAATTCTGCCAAGCCTAGTTATACTGGTATAACCCTAGTGTGGATGCAGTTTTACCAGTATAAAAGTACATTACACTGGTACATCTTATTCCCCATCATATGTGGAATAGGTATACTAGTATAAGCACCTTTATATCAGAACTACAGTATCCACACTTACTTAGGGAGGTTATACTACTTTATACCAGTATAATATTTTCACAGACAAGCTCTAAATACAAGACAAGAGACAACAAACAGATACAGACAGAGGGGGGGAGCTCAAAAAAATAAGACAATAATGGTCAGTATGACTGGTCTCAACAAACCAGCTGCATGACTATTAAATTTTTTGTAAGCATTACAGCAAAAGAGAGGTGCAATTGTGAATGTTTATGGAGCGTGCCTCCCATGCATGAGGCAGCATGGGAGAAAGCACAAAGAAGCTTCTTTGAGAATTTAACAAGTGAATGATTAAGGTTGGCATCACTGACAACAGAAGCAGGAGTCAACCTCTCTATAGCCTATGAGAGTCAACAGGTAATGTGGGGACTGAAAATGGAGAAGAGGGAGCAGGGGGAGGGGGCATGGTCAAAGTGATGTGCTAGGAAAATGATCCTTGCAGCAGCATTCTGAATGGATACAAGCAGGGCAAGATTGCCTCTCTCAAGGCCAGAGAAGAGGATGTTGTAGTGATTTGGATTACAAGTTTTAACTGTGTGGATGCTTAGGAAAGGCTGTATGTTAAAGATATTCTGCAAAAATAATTGGGAAGATTTATACACAGCTTGAATGTGAGACTCCAGATAGAAGGCAGAGTCAAAGATCACCAGACTCTGACAAGGAGAACTGTGGTGGTATATCCAGAGTGCTTGAGAAATAGGGAAGGGGAGGAGGGGAGAATATGAGCTCTGTTTTGGCCACAGTGCCACCTGGATGTTCATGAGATGTCAATGACAGAGTCTGAGATTTTAGTTTGGACAGAAACAGACAGGTCTGGAGTGGAGATGCAGATATCAGAGTTGTAGAAATTATAGCTGAATGGGAGAAGGGAAAGGAGGGGAGCTCTGTGGAACCCACACAGAAAATTGGGGTGGGGGGAATTAGAAGGATTCTCCAAACAACATGCTGAAGGAGCAATTAGAGAGATGAAAGAATCAGGAAAGGACTCAGTCATGAAAGCCAAAACAGGTCAGATTTCCAGAGGAAGAGCACAGTTGACAGTGTCAAAAACTGCTGTGAGGTGGAGGAGGAGATGAAGCACTGTTTCTGAGCTTTGTTCAAGGAGGGGACATTAGAGACTTTGGCCATGTCTATACGTACAGAGAGCTCTCCAGTCAGTATAGTAAAACCACCTCCATGAGCAGGGCCAGCTCTAGCATTTTTGCTGCCCCAAGCAGCCAAAAAAAAAAAAAAAAAAAAAAAAACTGCGATCAGCGGCAGCTCTACCGCCGCTTCATTCTATGGCGGCAATTCAGCAGCAGGTCTTTCGCTCGGAGAGGGAGTGACGGTCCCACCGCCGAACGTGCCGCCCCCCTCTTCATTGGCCGCCCCAGGCACCTGCTTGCTACGCTGGAGCCGGCCCTGTCCATGAGCAGCAGAAGCTATGCTGGTGGTAGAAACTCTCTCGCCAACATAATGCTGTGCACAGGAGTGCTTACGATGGTGTAATTTATGTTGCCTGGGGGTGGTTTTTTCACACCTCTGAGCAAGGTAAGTTTTGCCGACATAGGCTAGAGTGGAGACAAGCCGTTGGCAGGCGCTGTTTCAGTGGAGGGCAGCAGGCTCAGCGCGGGTCTAGGATGGAAACGGAGGGGAGACCACTGACGTCCAGCTGGCGTCGTGGGTGCTTAGCCCGACTGACAATTGGGCCAAGCCACTCACCCACGGTCCCCCCCAAGCGGCGCAGCAGAGTCTCTGGCGCTGCCAACTGCCCCCGTCGTTCCGCTCTGAAAACCCCGGGGCTTGGGCCAGCCACCGGGCCGTGCCCGTCGGGCTCTGACCCAGGTGTCAGGTAACAGGGGCAGCATCTCTCCCGCCTCTGGCCCGCAGCCACTGAGCCCAGCCCCCCGGGTCCCTGCACACGGTAACCGGGCAGCGGCCCCGGGCCAGGCAGGGCGCCATCGTCCGGCCCCCAAACAGCGGGGGCTGAAGCCGGCAGCAGCGACTCCCTCAGCCTGCACTGCGGCCCCCGGCCGGTACCTGCTTCAGCGTCAGCGCAGCCGGAGGCAGCCGGGACGCGGCCATGACACCGACCAGGCCCTGCATGCGCGCCCTAGCCCCGCCTCCGCCGCCCGCCCTCGCTGGGTCCCTGGGCCCCGCCCCGCCCGGGGCTCTCGCGGGAAGCGGCGGCGGCCAGAGCCGGGTCCCGCTGGTCAGGCGGGGGCGGGAGGGATTTGAGGCCTGGCCCCGGAGAGCGGCAGCGGGAAACGTGCGGGTTCCGGGCCGCCCAGCGCCAGCGCCAGCTCCTGTGGGTGCCCCCGGGGAAGGAGCCGCGCAGTATCCCCTCGCCGGCCGCCTGCCCCAGCGGGTTTGTGCTAGTAGGGGCCCAAGCCCGCCCCCGCTTGGCATCCGCACAGGCTGTCGCAGTGACCCCCCCCCCATGGGTGGCACTGCCAAGGTGGGAGGGTGGCTGAGAGGCTGGGCCTGATATGATAAATTAACACATGGGGGGGAGGCCTCCTTTCCTTAGGCGATGGGATTAGGGAGGTGAATGACTCAGCAGGCTGCAACTAGGATGTGTGCATTAAATTAATAAAGAGGTTAGTAGATTAGAAAGACTGTCTGAGCCAGCTAAGATAAAAGGGAGAACACCCAGGGCACTAGTTCCTGTGAACAAGATGAATTAGGAATGTAAAGGTAGAGTACTGAGCATAGAAAGTGTGGATAGAGCTTGCTGCATAGGAGGGATTGGTTCCTGCAAACTAACCAAGCCAATCTAAAAATGTGTAATGCAATGTATCATAAATGCAATGAGATATGTAATGTGTATAGAGAGAGAGAGAGAGATGCTATGTAATTTGCATCTATTGCACCTGCGTTTGAGTCTAATCAACTCAGTATAGCACAGCTGTATGCCAAATAAAGATATCTCAGTGATAAAGGCTGAAGTCCAACTGAGTTCTTGGGAAGCATCATGGAAACTGATCCCAGAGGGAATCCCAACAAGGACTTTCCTCCCCCATTTGGGCGTCCATCATCCTCTGTACATCTCTCAGATGTCCCAGCAGTCCTGAGGCTGTTTTAAATTATGCCTGGCTAGCCTCAACCCCAAGAGTCTGATCAGATAGCTGAGAATTGCAGCAATGCTCCAGCCATGCCCTTTTCCCCCTTAACCGCACCCTCACAGACCTATTAAAGCTCCCCTCACTGGATGCATGCCAGGTTGATGCATCTGAGTCCCACAACACTGTTAAGCTCTCCTTGGTCTGCGTAGATGATGGAGAAAACTGGTTTCACCTCCGTTGTGGCCCTCCCATTGCTCTGAGATGCTCCCATTTCAATGGGAACTGTATAACAACTCTCCTGTGTCTCTGGTCAGGTACGGATGTGACACCAGCCCTGCTGGAATTAATTGAAATTATTAAAATAGGAGACCACTAGACTCTAATTTAACCATAAATTCTTTTATTAAGCCCAAAGGCTAAATGGTATTTTAATCAATTTCCCTAAACATTCCTAAGCCTAAAAACACCCAATGCAGTAATAAAGTATCCACAAGCATGTGATCGGTATACTTACATATAGGCCAGACCAAGTGAAAATTGTCTCATCCTGGCATGATCAAGTAGGATCTGATAACCTTCAGTTTTATGGCTCTCTTTATACCCTTCAGTTAAACTTGCAAGCTTTAGCAAAAACCCAGTATGAAGAAGTTTATTCTTGCTACTTTCCTTCCAGTAAGGTCTTCCTTTCTTCTCTCTTCCCCACTCCTTGCTTACCAGCAGAACAGTGGGAAGGTTTGTGCTTGTTTCTTAAAAGAAACCTTGTAGGGGCCCATGCCCGTCCCCCATTGGCACCCACATAGGCTGTCCCAGTGACCCCCATGGCTGGCACTGCCAAGGTGGGAGGGTGGCTTAGAGGCTGGTTTGTCTTGTTACTGCAGCTTTTTATTTTATTAGTTACTTTTTGAACTATACATCATTCCCACACTACAAGTAAAATAATACCACTAATTATTCTGACTTTCTTTTACCTGCTGATTGGGGTGTTACCAGCCACAAACCATAAAGCACATATATTATTTTCTTAAACTTAAGCTAACTTTAATTTCATAACTATTCCTACAGGTCCTGATAAGATATGTCTGACTCCATATCCATTGAGGCATTCAATGATACAATTTCATAAAATTAACCAGAATTCCTAAGTTGTACTCAGATTCCCCAAATTATCACACCCTCCCAGCTACACCTGGCTGTGAAGAAGAGCCAGCACTTCAATATTCAGAGTTTCCACTTATGCATGGAGAATCCTGATGGGGTCAGTTAAACTAGCTTACCAGCAGATTTGCATTGGTCAAGTAGCACAAATCTGCCAGAATGTTTAGGACGATGAGGCCACCAATAAAAATCTCACATATCTGGCAACCCCTCACAGTCCAGAACAAGTGAAACCCGTGAAGTTATGCAAGCTAGGAACGTATCTGATTTGAGGACTGTTTGTATGATGTTCTGAAAATGTAAATCATTATATGTGCACCAAGTACTATTCCTGTGGCATAGCTATTTTTTCTTCATCAAATGACAAAGGATGGACACCATAATTACAAACAGTGGTACATCTTTTTATTAGTACAGACAATAAGATGCATAGCTTTTGCAATGAAAAAAGTCATGTACAATCTTTAAGACACCTGACTAAATGTGTCTTTAATGTCTGCCTTGGACAGAGGGGCAAACTTCACAGTGTAAAGTGATAATGCAGGGAAGATCATATCATGGCATGTTTCATAAAAATACCCTGCAGGCATTATCCAACAACCAGCAACATATATTAAATAGGATGTGTTTAACCACAAAACACAGTTTTAAGTATTCAAGTACTTATATTTTGGTTGTGTAAACCCATCCTTCCCCCACCCACATGTACCACCACCACGGGTTCAGCTAAAACAGTTCCAAGACTGTTCAAGTTCTTCCAATAAAAGAAGTTCCTTCCCAGAAACAAGACTACTTCCCCCCCTTCAATGATATGAACATTCCAAATAAAATTTAAAATAATAAATTACAACAGTGGTGGTAGAAGGTCTGCATTGTTATAGGGATAGGCAAATAAGTGAGTACAGTCTTTCACCATTGCATAGTCTCCTGCACTAGCAAATGGGGAGAGCACACCTAAAGCATTTATTTTCTAGGCTGTCTGAATATCAGAAGGCAGTTCCTGCACGTAAATCCTGGATAGAGAGATCTCATCAAATCACTGATGAAATGCAGTCACACTTAAGTAATTTAGCAGCAATCAGACGTTTACTTGCTTTGTAAATTCTATAGACTCTCCGAGGCAGTCACCAGTTCAAACCACTGTCGCAGAGCATCACTGAGAGTCTCTGGGAGGGCATTCACATCTCTGAGGATTATGTAGAATGGGAATGGGAACTCTTCCATGTAGGATCTGATTTCAGGCATTTCTCCGGGCTCTTTGAATATAGGTACTTTAATGTCCAAGATGGAATCCTGTAAAAGAGATGAAGGGATGACTGGACTGTAGGTATCATTTATCCAATTTTTCAAACACATTTCCCCAACATTGGACAATTAAAGGCAAAAATATTTTAAAATAAAACCCTAAATGCAACCCCCTCAGGGAAGTCAAACAGGGACAGGTATGACAAGTTTGGGGGTGGGGGGAGTGCCTTTTTTCTCATATGCTTATAGTCCTAAAACTGTACTGAGAATAGAGTTACAGAATGAAGTAGACTAAACTTTAAGCTTTTGTAGTATTAAAAAAACATATAAATAAATGCTAAGGAAAGACAAGAGACTAACATGACAAGAACCTGCTACCACCTGGATCAATTTGCTTTTATGTTGTGTCATTCCCTGAGCGTGCCCTTCCTCTGACTTTTAAAACTGTAAAGCTCTTTGGGTAGAAATTCACAATTGAGAAGGAATAAATCAGCTCTTTCAAATCCTTTTGCTTTCAACTTTTTAATTTAGAAATCTAGTAGCTATTTCTGTTCTAGCCAAAATTATGACAGTCCCTAAATAATAATAAATCATCTCAGAGTTTTTAGTGTATCCATCAAATTAATGGAAGTAATTATTGTAAAGTATGTGAGTACCAACTGTATTGGAAAGTCCCAGTTCTTCCCTCTCCTGCCCACATCTTGAGGCACAAATCATGCTCACAATTTTATCTATGGAGTTAGAAACACCCTGGAATTACTTTTACGGTCAGTCAACACTGAATTGGTTGGAGTTATTTAACAACATGAGGTGCTCCCAACACCTTCTCTGCCAGGAAGTGACAGACTAGCCCAGGACAAGGAAGAGTCCTTGTGTAGGCTTTTGTGGGATGAAAACTGGGTGCTTTTCTGTCAGACAGAATCTTTCTGAATAGTTGGGGGCACACTGTTCATAACTAGGAGGTGGTTACACATGATGCAATAGTATGTTACTATATTTGTGTACAGCACCCAGAACAATGGGACCTGATTCTGATCAGGGCCCTTGTGTACGATCAGAATACAAATACATTTTCACTAAGTATCTACTAGCAAACTACAGCAGATATTTTTCTGTAAACCAATTTATGGTAGATTTAGGCAATTCAACAGCACAGCCAACAGAAAATACTGTACAGCACACAGTATTGTGCTGGGTGCCTCACTGTACAAATAAGATGACACAGTTCCAGGCCCAAAGAGTTTAAAATCTAATTTCAAATATGACATAAGGAGTCACAGTACAGAGGTTGAGGGAGCACTGACAGATGTTGCACATGAATGAAATTTTAATTACTTCACTAAAGGATAGTGAACAGCAAAGTGAAGCAAATAATTATTTTATATTAAACAAAATATCTTTGTTGACTCCTACAAAAGGCATAACCCCAGCTGTCGTTGCAAATGTTTGACAGCTAGAAAAAAAATGATCTTGGTATAAATTCCCAGCCAATTTTATAAGGAGTTACAAAGGCAACCGTTAAAAACACTGTGTGTAGCTTTTCATTCACTGCACTAGAATGCTGTTTTATTATTCACTCACTCACCCGGGAATTAGGATTGTCTAATACGACAAAAATGACAAAGATATTGGCATTTTGAGCAGCCTGAACTGCTGCTGTGACTCGTTCCTTGCCTTCTAGGAAAAGGCCTCTTCCATCAGATACTATCAAGAGCAGCTGAGCGGTTTCTAAGCACAGGGAAAATAATATTTTCAGTTCCAATAAATAAGA